TTAATGATACAGATAACAGAAAACGGACAGGAAATTACTGAGAGAACATGTCAGATTTATATCACATGTATACGACACACCTGTAAATCATTGTATTCAATAAAAATGGGTGATTTCTGGCAACATGAGTGGCTGTTAGCAATGCAATGAGGGTATATCCAATCTAAAAAACGGTTTAAAATCTTTGAAATATTATGCAAATAAAAAAACTCAGACATGGGTGAGTTTCCCAAAAGCATTGCAAGGTAAGTTGATCGTAGAGACCATTGGTGAATGTTGGAAAGTTAGTGCATCTGAGGGATTACATCATTCTATTTGATTTGTCTCCTGCCACATACAACCATATTAATAAACGATGCATAGAAAAGCGTGCCACCATTGCCGCTAATGTAAAGATCATGCACTGCTGCAACTTATAATCAAATGCTTTCCCCTACCAAACGTTCATTTTTAGCAGCAAGAAACCAATTCGACCAGCAATACAGCCCATTTGAGTTTTGAACTCACCTTTCTTGTGGTTTCGGAAGATCTCCAGCTGTTTCTGCTGCTGCCGGCGCAGGGTGTTGACGATGGCGATGGCCAATCGCAGTGCTTCCCGTGGGTAACCATGAGATCTCAGTGCATCTACCCTGGCGCAAGCCGTAGGGACGTGTTCTGTGATAGAAACCCCCCAAAAAATCCTTTAATAAACCTCAGACGGGCACAATAGAAACATACTCACCCGCACGCAAAAAGGCGAGCGAGATAGAAAATAATCATGCCTTTCATTTTGTTAGAAACTCTTGTTCTCGCTCCCTATAAAGCCGCTATTCATTGCTTTTTTTTCTTAAACATTGCTGTGCTTTTTTCCTTAATGCTATAGTCTGCATAACACAAAGAGGCGAGTCAAGCAAACGTCTTTTTCCGGTCGAGCCGCTCACCGTGCCACAGGGGCCAGCCGCGAGAGTCAAAGAGCGAATTTTCAGTGTTGTCATGGTAACAGTAGTTGGTGTAGAGGTCGTCGTTGATAATGTGCTGTAAGTGGCTGTCTTGCCAGTGGAGATCGCATGCCTCGATGGCTCGCGTGAAAACCGTCCGGTGGGGCCGGGTGCCCGAATCTGAGAACGAAGAAGAGGAGGAGGAGAGACAGGGAAAAGGGAAAGGAAATTGCTCGCGTGAAAACCGTCCGATGGGGCCGGGTGCCCAAATCTGAGGATGAAGAGGAGGAGGAGGAGGAGGAGAGACAGGGAAAACGGAAAGGAAATTGCTCTGTCATTCTCAATGCTAGCTCTGAGAGCAAGGCCCCCGGGGGCCTGTCAGTCAGGGGCAAACAGTAAAACCTTCGGAAATAAGTCCGTAGATTAGTGCAGCGAGCTGAACTGTCATTCACAGGTGGTGCAGATACCGACCTGACCGCTGCAAGGTGGCTTTACTTGGGCTGGGTGATATAGCTATAATTATTATTATATCAAGCCTTTTGACAATATTCAATATGCACAAACAAAGTAAACAATGCCACGCAGAGATTCCCATAAACATTCTTGAGTGATAACACAAATTAATCATTAAATCAGACATTAAATCAGAAAAGTTTGGGGTCTTATATGCAGAGGTCAGTATCTTCTGCTCACCAAGGCTGCATTTATTTGATAAAAAATACAGTTAAAACAGTAAAACTGTGAAATATTATTACAATTTAAAATAACTGCTTTCTATTTGAATATATTGTAAAATATAATTTAATCCTGTGATCAAAGCTGAATTTTCAGCATCATTACTCCAGTCTTCAGTGTCACATGATCCTTCAGAAATCATTCTAATATGCTGATTTGCTGTTCAAGACACATTTCTGATTATTATCAATGTTGGAAACAGTTGTGCTGCTTCATATTTTTGTGGAAACTGATAAATTTTTTCAGTATTCTGTGATGAATAGAAAGTTCAAAATAACAGCATTTATTTGAAATAGAAACATCATAAATGCCTTCAGTGTCACTTTTGATCAATTTAATGCATCCTTGCTGAATAAAGATATTAAATTCTTTCAACAATAAATACAAATATTACTGACCCCAAACAGTCTAATAACATTTAAACAGCACATAAAGCACACTGGATTGATTAATTCATCGGTTCATTGTTTTATTGTCAACAAAAACATACAATATATCATAAAAATTTGCTATATCACCCCGCCTTAGTGCATCCCAGACAAAAAAAAAACTCTAATTTAATCTATACAACCTCTGTGCCAACCAGTCTAGAGCCCATTCATACCCAAAATACCCATGCCTTAGGAAAAGGGGAAGTCATTTCTTTGCAATTACCTGTCTGGAGCATGAATATTTATAACAAAACACATCATAAAACCTCTGCAGACGTTGTCGCCTCGGTATAAAAGACCTGACTAATCGAAAAGTTTCAATAGAGCTATTTCCCCCCCGCCCCAACCCTCGCTTTCGCCCAGAGTTATGATTAGCACAGCAAGGACAAAAGCCATGGAGGAAGTACTGAACCGCTGTTATTAGGGGCATTCCATTAGTCACACAAAGCCTAATAAAAGGGGCGCACGGAGGCACGGTTGATTAAAACACCCCGTTTCTGCCACCACCACGACACGCACGCACACACATGCGCGCTTACCTTGGTTGCCGTGTGCACCCTGAGGCAAGGCATTGGTTAAATTGGGCAGCTCGTTGCCGTGGTTACCGTCCTCCAAGGGACACACGTCCACACTGTTCCACTTCTTGAGCTGCCTGAGCCAAGCGGCCTTCTGTTCCAGCTTACAGTGGGGGTTCAGCACGATACACATCCACAAGGCACCTGGGAAAGACAGGGAGCGTCAACACAAAGAAATATGGAGGGATGCTTGGCGGTTTCTTAAGAAATAGATGATGTAGGCACCAAAGAAGCTCCGAATCGGCCTGGGAGGTTCATATGGTACCAAACAGATAGATAGGTCAGCTGACTGCTACCTTTAACACAGACAACCTCCAAGAGCTCGTCCAATTATGTCTTTTATGCCCCACTTTAAACTTGATGGTAATCATATGTCACTAATGACAGCAATTTCTCAGAATCAGCATCATATATTTTTGCTCATGCTTACTGAAGTTGACAAGGAACTGAATGCAATTCTTTTGATTGGATGAAGAACCAGATATGATTTTGAGATTTTTTTCACATCCTGTGTATACACTGTTGACATACGTATTGTTGGGAATGGGATGTAACTTTCTGCTCTATGCTCATTGAAAATGAAGAAACAGAATTTGGATCTGCAAATTTTGGATTCGCAATTTTACAATGCAATTTAATGATGACAAATTCATACACAAAACCGATATCTATCTATCTATCTATCTATCTGTGTGTATGATTACATGTAATCTGGATTACATGATCGTAATCTGGAAAATGTAACTAGATTACATTACGTTGTAAAATACTCGTAATCAGACTACAGTTTTTTTATTGATTACATGATTACATATTCACATGCAGATGACTCAGCATAATATTTAAAGTTTTTTATTAAGTGTTTTATTTTGATTGTTGTAATTTTAAAAAGATTTATTTTCATTTTACATTTTTATGATTCAATTAATCATTAGCTTTTCATTAAACTCACAACCCCCCTGCAGTTTCATCATGAAGTCCAGTTTGGGAAACATTGACGTAATGTAATGTTTGATGCACTTCATGTTGGTAATAACAATCATTGAAATATGATATATAATTTAAATTGTAATTATAATATTTTTCTCATCCGTTGACCAGCCTTTCAGTGGATTTAGGAATTGACAGGAGGAAAACCACTTCTAATTGGGCAAGCTGGCACGATTATTGGTCGATAATCTAAAAAAAATTGGCCAAAAATCAGTCTATAATAGCACAATATCTGTGCAAATGGCCGCTGCCAATCTTGATACAATGAGAACAGCACTTCTGTTTACTGCAGTAATCTGATGATGAATAGTCCAGTTGATATGTTGGTTGATCAAAAATGATGGCAGCCAGTGGAGTTTCTACTCTATAAATACACCAAATGCTCACAATCCCCGATTTAAAAAAATAAATAAAAATAAGTTAGATGACATCCATCCAGAAATACAGGCCTCTTTCAAGTCAAAGGTACAAAGAAGTTGAGCATAAAGCTCCGGATCAATATGTGTACGTCCCTCACAGGACAAAGCCGCAGAACGTCACCGACGAGCAGCCGCAACCCATGAGGTTCATTTCGCCTCTAATTCATCCCATTGGATGCATTAGGCAGTGATGTATGGAGCCTGACACGAGTGCCGTGCCATACGAATTGTGTATGATGGTTAAATCACTCCCAGAACGCTCCACAATGACATACTGAGAATACCTGCAAGAGCCAGCTGAGAGAACGAGAACCAGAGATGGAGGAGGGGCGAAGGAGAAAACAACGAGATGGGGGGAGAAATGAAGCGAGCGGGAGAGACAAATGTATGATGGCAGAAGAGGAATTAGATAGCGGTGAGAGAAAAGAGGGGAAGACAAAGGAGGAGAGAGAGAAGGAAAGCAGGAGGGAGAGATGTGATGAAATCTGGAGGAGCACGGGAGGCTCGTGGGGGGATGGGACCGAGTCTCGGCTCTTTGTTTGGGCATGAAGGACAACAGACATGGAAGAGATGAGGAAACATGCACCACAGAACATGCAAACAGGACGCAGCGGCGTATCTGAAAAATGCAAATCTCAGAGACGTTAATGTCTCTATGACAGGAGAAGATTGGAGACAGGAGTCAGGGTGCAAATATAATAATATTCATCAAAGTATAATAAAAATATAATAAAATATAATTAGTGGTGTCAAAATAAAAAAGTTTAACGTGTTAAAAATGTTTAACGCAGGGGCGGGGCTAGAGTTGGCCACCCCACTCACAACTGCTGCTTCGGTCACTTTTTCTCTTGACAAGAAGTGCATTTATTCAGTCACAGAACGACTTAGAACGGGAGTTCGAACAGCTGAATCATTCAGGAATGAAGCAAGTGACTGTCTTTATGAACTGACGGAAATCCGTCGTAGTGACGGAACTTTAATCCCTGATAATATAATATAATATAATATAATATAATGACTTGATTGCCTCTATGACAGGAGTAGGGCTAGAAATCAATCGAATATTACAGAAAACCAAATTTTCATGAATTCATGATGCTTTGGTTCATGAATGTCAGCATTCTTCTGTGGAAATCTAAACTAAAATTCTCAGTAAAATAATAAGATGTCAAATTCAATGTCCTTACAAACAACATCCACACAACTAGTATAGTTTGATTTGAGAGTGAATGATTCTTATGAGTCGATTCTTTTGAATGATTCATGGATCCAGTTAAAGATACACATCCGGAGTTCTGTTTTAATAAATGCTACTAAAACAGTGCTTTGAAGATTTGATAAATGAAACTGTGTCTATATCAGACAAAAAAGTTAATTCACCCATTTTCCAATCGCCCATAACTTGCCGATAACTAGTTAGTGAACATGCTTAGATGGCATCTTCAACACTTCCAGTGTAGGGAACTTCAAGTCGAAAGGTTGCTTATAAACATTGGTATAAACATGTATTAAGTGGAAACGAAAATTGGACAATTCCTTATGGTTACCAATCTAGACAGGTGTTAATGGATCTGCGATGAACAAGTCAGTAAATACCACAAACAAAAAAAAGCTAAACTCGCCCGTCACATCGTCCGGTCCAGTATCTTATGCAAACTGCTGATTGAAAGCAAAAAAACGTTACATAGTTGTAATTCATTACGACAAGATCACAGTAAGTGAAGTGACACATCAGGGAGGGGAGCACGCTACATAGTAATCAAGACGCCGCTGGCTATTTAGCCCGCCATTGTCTTAAACTTGCTGGCTATACGGCTTTGTGTTTGGACAATGTGAAGGATTAGCACTCGCTAGTGTAATTATCTCAGCTGAGAGAAGTCGTGGCCTAATTTCCAGCCTCCTCAGTCATACGTAACCTAGATGAAAAGGAGTCGCTTTCAGCACACAGGCCCCTGTGCCCAGATTAATTAAAACAATATTGAGCTTTGCTGAATAAATTCATCCATACACGCACACAATCACATGCACACATCCCTCCCCCTTTGCTCTGACCGCGTCTTTCACGGGCCTAATTTGAGCTTTCACTCCAAATCTCATCCCTGCTGTCAGCACGCCTGTCTCAAGCCGAAAGCATCCCATGGTTCCACTCTTTCAGAAACACACATGCAATAAACAGTGAATGCTCAAGCAATATGGGCTTTTCTATGGAGTCGACATCGAGCAAAACGACCAACACAACACACAACACATAACATAACATAACATCACATAACACAACACATAACACAACACAACACACAACACACAACATAACATATAGCATAACATAACATAACATATCACATAACATAACATAACATAACACAACACAACACATAACATAACATCACATAACACAACACATAACACAACACAACACTCAACACACAACATAACATATAGCATAACATAACATAACATAACATCACATAACATATCACTCCAAATCTCATCCCTGCTGTCAGCACGCCTGTCTCAAGCCGAAAGCATCCCATGGTTCCACTCTTTCAGAAACACACATGCAATAAACAGTGAACGCTCAAGCAATATGGGCTTTTCTATGGAGTCGACATCGAGCAAAACGACCAACACAACACACAACACATAACATAACATAACATCACATAACACAACACATAACACAACACAACACACAACACAACACAACATATAACAACATAACATAACATATGGGTGCTAAGGTTTTTGTTGGGAAATAATAATTTTAACATAATTCTTTATGATAACATAATTCTAATGATACAATCATCATCATTATCATCATCATTGTCAATACATAATGTTATAATATATTGGAAATAATAATAATGATAATAAGACGAAATAATCTTCATCTTCATAATATATAATATAATATAATATAATATAATATACGAGTGATAAGGTTTTTGCTGGGAAATAATTTATAATATATAATTAAAAGTAATATAATATATAGGAAATAATCATCATCAGTATATAATATTTTATAATATATGGGAAATAAGATAAAGAAGAAATAATCACCTTCAATATATAATGTAATGTAATCCAATTCAATACAATACAATCCAATATCATATAATATAATAGGTGCCAAGGTATTTGCAAAAAAATAAAATCAGATTTTCATGAACTAATGATGCTCGGTTCTTGAATGTCGACACACTCTTCTATAACGCTCAATAAAATAATAAGACATCAATGTTGATGTCTTCACTGGTTGCACACAACAACAAACAAACGACATCCACACAACTAGTAGAGTCCGATTGGCGAGTGAATGATTCTTATGAGAGCATAAACATAGCAAATGCTCAAGCAGTATGGGGTCAATGGCGAGCAGAGCGACTGCCACTAGCAGCACCAAACGTAACTGTGAAAATAATGAATAAAAGCGATCTAAGACCTGCCTGATGCAAGCGTGCCTTTGTTCCCCAACAAAAGTGACCCGCTCGCAGCGGAGGGAGCAAAACACGGATGAAGGTTGCTGGGAGGGGAGAGCGTATAAATCTGGGCTGTAATCTCCCTCTCGCACTCGCTGGCAGCCGTCTCCTCTGCTCCTCATCCTCAGCCTACCTGACCGCCGGTGTCAGATTAAGTGTCCGGGATTTAATGAAACGGTCTTCACATTATCGCGCCTGTCAGGGAGGAAGAGGAGGGGGCAGCCTTCATAACGAAGGCTTCTCCAATTACGCTGGGGCTTAGAGGGCCTGACAGGCATAATGATTCATCTGAGAGAGGGAGAGAGAGAAGATGTGCCCCTCCGATCTTGCTCTCCTCCTCTTTTTAATGAACCAGGGCCCCTCCACGGCTTCTTGGGGGGTGTAAGAACTCTGAAAATGGCGGCAGAGTTGAGGAGCTTGCCCGTAAAAAACATCTCCAGCGTTTATCTGGATCAAGTCTCAGCCTCGGTCAACACGTCCACGTCCATGTCCAAATAGCCAAAAACACAAAAATAAAATCATGAGAGCTTAACAAAGCTCCAAACAGATTGCCTTACTTGGCTAAGCAACTCACAGGAATCAGGATGCAAAAGTTTTTCGATAAAATAAAAAATAAAAATAAAGTAAAGTAAAATGAAATAAAATTAAAAATATGTATGCAAAGGATTTTTGTTGAGAACTAATAATAACAATAATGATAATAATAGTAATAATAAAAATTATAATATATAATATAATATAACGTAGGCCCAAAGGGTTTTATAAGGTGTTATAATAATAATAAAAAATTCAAAATATGGGTCAAAAGGTCTTTTGCTGAGAATAATATAATATAATATAATATATAATATAATATAATATAATATAATATAATAATAGGTTCAAAGTGTTTTATAATGTGGTAATAATAATAATAATAATAATATAAAATACAAAATATGGGTGCAAAGGTCTTTTGCTGGGAAAAAAAATTATAATTCAGTAAAAAATGTAATCAAATATAATATAATAGAAATGAACAAACAGACACATTTTTCTCTAATTTTCTTTAGTGTAACTGTTTGCTTCCCGTCCATTATTGTGGTATCAATGCTTTCAAATTTATCATAAATATTACATAAAGCAACAGAGCAGAGCTTGCTTTGTTTTACATGTTGGTCATATGCTCTCTTCCTGTCTTCGTGGGCTGTTTTTGGCCAAATTAATCTGTAAACCAGACCAGACCACACTAGAAATGAATCTGGAATACACGATACATATTACAAACTGGATGTCCCTTAAATTCTGTGGGATGCAACATTATAAGTGTTTAAGACTCGTGTTGGTTGGGAGCCCCCATCCAGGGGCCACTTCCCTTTGACACACAGAGGGCCTCTCTTCCCCTTCCTGCAGCCTCTCCTCATCCTCCGTCAAACAAAAATGTGACACAGAAGGCCTCACTGCACACAAACGCCGGCTAATCTTGTTCAGCCCCACAAATTCCTTGTAGTCACACAACCAGCTCGGACACAAAAGCATCAGCCCTTAAAACTTTCAAACGGGGGACAGAAACAAACTCTACACAAGTACTTAAACATTTGGGGTTGTTATGATTTTTTAATGCTTTTGAAGTCTCTTCTGCTCACCAAGGCTGCATTTATTTGATAAAAAAACAGAAATATTGTGAAATATTATTACACTTTAAAACAACCATTTTCTATTTTAATAGTTTGAGACTTTAGTCTTTGCAACTTCAGGGATCTTATCTATGCACAATCAGCTTGTAACACTCCAAAGAGAAAGGAAAACTTGAAATCGCATCATATGACCCCTTTAAAAAAATGCTAATGAACAATAGTGTAAATGCTAATGCTTGGTCAATGCATTGCTTGCTCTCTAACAGCAGATAAAGTACAAGCTTACTCTAATGCATGCAACAACACCAGTGAAAAAACACTGAGAAAAATCTCGCCTGTACCATATTATGAACTGCATTTGGCCACATTTCAACACATAAGATCAAGCTTGAGTATCTAGAATCGTTTGCGTTCACATACTTGCATAGTTAGCTCATCAAATGCTTGAACGTCTGATTTTCAGGTCCATTGGTCTAGTGCTTATCTCTCACTCTGCTTCTGCGCTTGGCACCCAGGGACCTGGACGCCAGCAATTGTGCCCACTGCTGCCGAGTGCCAAGGCAAAATTGATGAAACATCACAGGATTTGAGAATTGGCAGGCTGACACGATGCGGCGAGCCAGTCACAATTAAAATTATTACACGTCCTTCCAAATTTCACCGCTTTCATTCCAATAGTGCTGATAGCAGGAGACTGAGATGGAAAGGTGGAAAAAGCATGATATATTCCTTATATATACTACGCCATGTGGATTGAATGGCAATTCAGTGCGTTTTGATCCAGTTACAGTAATTGAAGCAATAGAAGCAGGACGCAGCACTTCGGAAACGGCCTAAAGTGCGTCGCCGGTTTCTAGTGCTTGGGTTTCGCTTGTGTGCTTGCCACAGTATATTTTAGACGGAAACACCCAAGAGGGTTTTAAGTGGGAAAAGAATATGCAATATTGATCAAGAGCAAAAGCTACGAATATGTAATCTGGCAACGGCAGCATCCTCTAAATGGCCGTCCTCAGAGACGCAGGTGGATTTTAAACGAAGATCCGCACAGACGCGGAGTGCAGTGAAGACGGACTCGAAAAAACACGGGTAACCGAGAGAAACAACACAACCAACTGGCCCTGATCGCTGCTGAACCACAACTTACACATGTTCCCCTACAGATGCCACTTAAGACCTACATGCAATCTAGCAAAATAAGTCTTACATGCAAAAAAAAAACAAAGATTCAGCCAAAATTCAGGTGCTGAATACAAAATGTTTGTTGTTTATGTTGTTCTCACCTAACTCATCCCACAGCTGCCGGTATTTGTCCGTCATGGTGGTTCCCTGCTGCCGCCACAGAGCCAGCCGCGGGTCGGCCATGAACTGCTCGGTGATTAGCGTTAGCATGCGAGCGCCATTCGAGTCCCGCATCTTCAGCATCTCCCGTACCTGCAGAACACATGCAAACACACACAAGATTTAAGCACATGCACCAAAAATGCCAAAAATGTATCCAAACCAGACATGATTAACAGTGATGAATCCTCCACGTTTAATGTTAATCTGCGCTTTTGTTGACAGAACATTTTATTAGGTGCTTCATTCAGATTTGAATCATGCAAAACACACTACCATTCAGTAGTGTACTGTTAGTTTGGGGTTGCTAATATTTTTAAATATTTTTGTAAGTCGCCTCTTATCCTCAACCAAGGCTGCATTTATATGACCAAATATTATTACAATTTAAAATAACTGTTTTCTATGTGAATGTATTGTCAAATGTAATTTATTCCTGTGATCATTACTCCAGTCTTCAGTGTCACATGATCCTTCAGAAATCATTCTAATATGCTGATTTGCTGCTCAACAGATATTTCTGATTATTATCGATGTTGAAAACAGTTGTGTTGCTTCATATTTTTGTGGAAATCGTGATATATTTTCTTTTTCAGGATTCTTTAATGAATAGAAAGTTCAAAAGAACACCATTCATTTTTATAACATAACAAATGTCACTTTTGCTCAATTTAATGCATTTTTGCTGAATAAAATAATTAATTTCTTTCAACTGACCCCAAACTTTTAAACAGTAGTGTAGCTCCACCCACAGTGAAATCTCATTGGTTCAAAATTTCACTCAACTTAGGCATTAAACATTAAATGTTGTTTAATTGGCTTTGATTTTGTAGCATCTTGAAGTATTTTATTTTCAAACAGAATATTTTTTATTTCAAGGTCACGTCATGCATGAAGTATTTTGTTGTTCTGTTGAACCCAAAAGAAGATATTTTAAAGAATGGTGATAACCAAACAATTTGTTAATTTTTTTGGAGGTGAATGGCTACCGTCAACTGTTTGGTTACCAACATTCTTCAAAACATCTTCTTTTGAGCCGAAAAGAAGAAAGAAACTCGTAGAGGTTTGGAACAACATGAGGGTGAGTAAACGCTGACAGAATTTTCATTGTTGTCTGAACTATCCCTTTAAATCGGTGCTTCAGCCCACCTTTGAGAACAGGAGATTGAGCTGTTTGCCCGAGCCATGGTAGCCCCCCTGGGACAGGAAGAGTTTGACCTGCTCCTGGACCTGCTCCTCGTCCAAATGCCAGCAGTTCTCATCGTCCACGCTGGCCCCCGCCGTGGGGTCTGGGGCCCCTGATTTACAAACATACAACCAAGCGATCAGTGAACAACATGGTGATGCTTATGTTGACCAAATGGGATTTTCGCTCAATAAAGCCCATAAAATGAGGCATTACAGTTTATAGTCATGGAAAAATCAAAACCAGAGATTATTTATCAGCCAAAATGCTTCAACGCAATTAGTGCAATCAACACAGAGCCTTAATGCAATGCAGAAGCACGCTGGTGTTCGAGAAGAGCGACTGAGGAAACCCCCAAACCCCAAACAACGGCTGATGATTTAAGTGCCGTCGATAACACTGAGGTTTTTTGCTGACGCTTTTTTCCCCCTATAACTGGCACATCCGCTTTAGATTTCCCCTTCCCGACAAAAGTGAAATATAATATGACCATTGTGCCTAATGCCGAAACGATAAGAGAGACTAGAAGAGTCTTTCATTCCCTTTAGATTTATGTCATCAGGTTCTGGGACCATAATACTCATTCCAACAGCTCCAGGCCGCGGCAGAGCCTAGAAACAGTGCTAATGCTAATGTGCATGTGCTTTACAATATCAGCCAACTCATTTTTTAAAGGGTTCCATTATGGAAATTAGGATTTTGTTTGATATTTTCAAGTTCAGGGGATCTATTGAAGCGAAGCCTTAAAGGGTTAGTTCACCCAAAAATGAAAATTAGCTTGTGTTTTACTTACCCTCGAAGCTTCCTAGCTGTATATGACTTTCTTCTTTCAGACGAATCCAGTCGGAGTTATATTAAAAATTGTCCTGGCTATTCCAAGCTCTATCATTGCAGTCAGCGGGTGTTGCAGTTGAACAGTCCACAAGTCGTCAAATAAAGCTCGCGCATTCATAATAAAATGTGCCGCAGACGGCTCCGGGGAGTGAATAAAGGCCCCCTGTAGCGAATCCATGTGTTTTTTAAAGACAAATATCCATATTTCAAACGTAATAAACACTTTTCTCTCACTTCAGTTATCTGTCATACGCGGAAGCTGTTCTGGCGGATGACGCAGCACGTATGCACAGCGCGCGAGCCTCTGAGATATGCTAGTCTCGCGAGTTTGTTTAATAGGAGCAAAGGAAGCAAAGTTTCCTTACTTTAGCAAAGGAAAACCAGTCTCCTCTTGGCTTATATCGAAATCCTCCGACTAGTTTGTACTTCTAATTTGTGACCGGCGTTTTGTTTTGTTCTCTCTCCGCATTCGTCACTAATCACGCAAAGCCGCGCGTCTTACGTCATCCGAACTGCTTCAGTGTATGACAGTCAGTGGAAGTGAGAGAAAAGTGTTTATTACATTTGAAATATGGATATTTTTCTTACAAAAACACATGGATTCGCTACAGGGGGCCTTTATTCACCCCCCGGAGCCATCAAAGAAAGCCATATACACCTAGGATGCCTCTGGGGTGAGTAAAACACAAGCTAATTTTCATTTTTGGGTGAACTAACCCTTTAAGACGATATCTTCATGTTTGTGATCCACATTTAGGAGCTAATTAATATTACTGACCATATTTGCAGGCGACCCATAAGTCAGTGCTGTTGAGATGGAAAACTGGATAATCAAAGGTCATTAATATACAGAAATCTTAAAGGTGCAGTAGAAAAAACAGCTTGTTTAATTTGAAGGATCAGAAAGAGGGGATGGGAAATTAACATACACACTACACACTGACTAAAATTAAAAAAGTGAAAAAGCATAATAGGACCCCTTTAAATAAATCAATAAATTATTGAAGTAAAAAAATGCAACTAAATAATAATAATAATAATAAATAATGAATAATAAAAGCAAAAATGTATTAAAAATTATAAATTTGGAAAATAATTACCTCAAGAATAAAAAAAGCTACAAAATAAAGAATGGTGTTATTAAAAAAACAGACAATCTATTTTAAATTCAACATAATAAAAAAAAAATAATAATAATAATAAAAAAAAAAAGATAAATTATAAATTGTTCTGTATTTTATTTATTTGTATCTTTATTTAACAAAAATAAATAAAACTACACTTTAAAAAAAAGATTTTTCAAAAGTTGTAAATAAAACAAATACTACTGGAGTGCATTTTACAAGAAAATACCATTTCTGTCCTTCTACTTCAAAATTTCACGTTTAATTGTTGTGTTACTCGCCGTTTCTTTGTAATTATTTGTGAAATTTAATTGTGGAATTGTTTCATAGTAATTCCTACACCATTTCAGGGTATGAAATAAAAAAAATATATATTATTATGAATAATATTAAAAGAATAATAAAAATAAATTTTTTATAAAAATTATAAATAAGGAATAGAATTATCTTAAGAATAAAAAATTTGCTAAAAATTCAGAATATGGCCCCTCTGCCGTTATAACAAAACAAACAAAATACAGACAATCTATTTTAAACTCAACATAACATAAAAATAAACCAATACATAAAAAGTATACATTTTTATATATTTATTTATTTGTAATATTTATTTTATAAAATACAAAAAAAAAAAAAAATGGTATAAATTATATTATGTTATATTATATGTGACCCCGGACCACAAAACCAGTCATAAGGGTCAATGAAGGGTCAAGGGTCAAGCAAATAAATAAGCTTTCCATTGATGTATGGTTTACAATATTTGGCTGAGATACAACTATTTGAAAATCTGGAATCTGAGGGTGCAAAAAAATCAAAATACTGAGAAAATTGCCTTTAAAGTTGTCCAAATGAAGTTCTTAGCAATGCATATTACTAATCAAAAATTAAGTTTTGATACATTTACGGTAGGAAATTTACAAAATATCTTCATGGAACATGATCTTTACTTAATATCCTAATGATTTTTGGCATAAAAGAAAAATCTATTTTTTTTTGACCCATATAATGTGTTTTTGGCTATTGCTACAAATATACCCCAGCGACTTAAGGCTAGTTTTGTGCTCCAGGGTCACATATTATATTATTATAGAAACTACATAACTACAAAAGACAGCGAGTTTAGCCTAGTTGTGGTAGTTAGCTTTGTTAGACAGTAGGAATGTCAAGCAGTAACGCTCTTGATATCGAGGGTGCTTCAAGCGCTCACCGTGCACTTGATTGATCTCGGAGTTCTGCGAGAGAATCTCGTCGGCTAGTTTCTGGGCCGTGGGCAGCACTTCCGTGTGGTGGACGGTGATGAGATACTGCACAAACTTCTGCAACTGGTCCCTGTTCATCTGGAATAGAGTCTCTGAGATGGGGAGGTGAAGTTTGACCTGTTCGGGCCGCCGTACGCGGTACAGGGACAGCGCCACCACATGGGCGCAGTAGAAGATGTCCTTGTTTCCACAGCCGCACGTCACGGAGGTGATCTTGCAGCGGTCGAAGCTAATGGCTACGCTGCACACCATCTCGGGTTCTGACGGCGTGGCCGGTTCTGTTACTGTGCCGCTCAAATGGAAACCTGAGAGACAGAGAGAAAGAAAGAGCTCAATTCTGGATGCGGTGTATGCTATATTTTTCCAACTGTTTGGACAGTCCAGAAAATTCCATAAATGTTTTCTGACTATATTTTCTCCAAGAGCTTTGATGCTCCACTTAATAAATTCTGCATTTTAAATGATCAGGCTTTATTTTTCCAAACTGATTGGTTTTCCTCTAGTCTAGTGGATTAAATAAATAAATAAACAAACAAACATTATTTAAAAAAAATAAAAAAAATGAATAAAACCAAATAAATAAAAATGCTTACACAATGAAATAAAAACTAAAAAAATTAATAATTAAAAAATATTTTAAAATAAAAATACTAAATATGAATTAAAAATAAGAAAACAAAAGAAAAAAAAAGAAATCAATACGTCAAAAAAACTAAATAAAAATGTATAAAATGAATTTTCAAAAAATAAAATAAAAACTCAAGTGAAAATAAATAAAATAATTTTTTAAATAAAAAGAATAAAAAAAAACTAAATCTCAAATAAATTCTTTAAAAAAAAAAATACAATAAAAAAAAATGTATTTTAAAACTAAAAAAACAAATAAATAAATCCCACTGACACAAATGAATTCATGACATTTTCAAAATTCAGAATCTAAAAAAAAAAAAATCCACCTATCTACCAGTGTGGCTGCATAACCAGCCACCTAGCAACCAATTGGAACACCTTAGCAACCGTTCAATATTAAATGTTATGATAAAGTGAAAATGGATACAGGCACAATGTAAAGCGTGAGAGAGGACGGGGAAGTTTCAGTTTATGAGTGGTGAACAGATGTGTGTGTGTGTGTTGGGGCGGCGAAGTGGGCGGAGCTGCTCAGTGACTGGCGTGTGCCTCTACAAAAGCAGGACTGAATAATACAGATGCTCATTAGAATATAAAATAAATAATTTTAAGATATGAATTTAAAACATAATAAAATTAAAATAAATTAAAACTTTAAATAAAATGTAAAAAATAATTCCCACTGACAAAAATGAATTCAGAAACATTTCAAAAATCTGAATTTGAAAATGTAAATAATATAAATAACACATATATTTAAAAATACTTTGTTTTTTAAACTTTTACATAAAGGAGTGTGTTCAATATTAGTTTTGTATTGACTACTACTATTTTGTTATTGAGACAATCCTAGTCTATTCTTGCTACCCTAATACACAGACATCAAAACCACCAACCTGCATTAAAATAATATCATAAACTACTTCTATTTAATGGAGTCTGCGCCTCACATCCAAATGAGCTCTTGCCTAAAGGGTAAGAAAGCCTCCTAACCCTTAAACAGCACATATCCTGTTGGCGGTGGGAGCAGCCCACTATTGGTACAAGAGAAAAGGGATGAATGTTCAAGTTTCACTTCCTTTCCCAAAGTGCTGACCCAGCAATGTCCACCTATACGCCTTTCCACAACGCTAAATATATTCAATCACTTGAGAAAAGCCTTCGCTTGTAGGATGTGGAGAAAGAAGACGCCAGAAGCGATTTCGAAACAGAGTTCAAGAAAAGCTTTTACAGAAGGCCGAACGCAGAGGAACTGGCCGGCGGCGCTCCAATCCATGTTTTCGCCAACAACGCTTACGTAAGACAACGTTTGATCCTGTGTTCGCACCCGTCATGTGCAGGTTTGAGTGGAAACAAGAAGACGAGGCTAATACACCCACCTAGTGCGCTGACTACTGGCTTTAAACGTGCCGCATCGTCAAACCCCGGTTAGTGTTTAAGACGGTCTGATCTAAATAAACACATGACGCACGTCTAGACGTCTTCAGGGGGGATTCCTCAGCGCAAACCGCCATCCGCCTCAGGTAACAACGCTTCTATTCATCTGCACGGGATGCAAACAAAAGCAGCGATGTTTCGTATATCACGCCGCAAATCAACTAATTACGCAGGCGGTCTCAAGGTGGCCACTTACAGCGCTCTGTTCATCACCAGACACAAACACTTTAACTCTCAGACGACGGGCTCAGCAGCGAGCTTCATAATCAAAATTATTTTTCTCTAAAACGCTCCCCGAGGACGGGGAAGGTAATAACAAAAGCAAGCGCAGATTTGGAAGCCAATATATATACCAATATACCAAACGCAGGAGAGATTCTGCTATTCATCATGACCCAAATGAATCTGGAGCAGCACGTGCGCGCCGATGTTGTGAATCGCTGCATTAACAGACGACGCACCGCTCTGGGTCACCTTACATCATGAAATTAAAAAAGAGAGTATGAAAAAAAAAAAAAGAAAAGAAATATAAAGAAAAAAAATATATTACATTGTACAAATTATAATATTATATATAAATATGAAATTGAAGTGTAAGCTCTCTCTGTTTTTTTGTAAGATTCACTCAAACAGTCGATTCTACAACAATTTAACATTTTTGAGTTAAAAAAAATGGTTTACAAATCTGTAAAATGGATATGAGTACGTAACACGACAAAAAATATTTTAATTGAAAAACAATTTAAATAAAAAACATCTTAAATAAATTTTTAATAATTTTCATATTTACATATTTCTTTAAATATGCAAACATGAGAAAAAAAAATTTTCTAAAAAAAATTGCATATATATATTTTCCATATAAATGTATTTCCATATTAATTAAACATTTTTAATGTAAATATTTTTTTAGTACTTTTAAAATGCGTAAACTTTAGAAAAATATTTACATAATTTAAAAAGTACATGCAATTTTTTTAATTTTAATATTTACATATTTTTGAGCTACATAAACATATAACAAATATTCACATTGCATGTAAATGTTTTGAAATGTAAACATTTTTAATATATACATATCTTTAAATATATGTAAATATGAGAAAAATATTAATACTTTAAAAAGTTTTTATTTTTCATACCTAAATATTTTTTTTAAGTATTTAAAAAATATATATATTTTTAATATTTACATATTCTTTTAAAAACATGTAAAAAAGATTATATTTAAATCTATATATGTAAATATGAAAAACTTTTTTAAAAATGTACATATTCAAAAATATTTTTATGCATAAAAGTACAGCATGTTACAGCACACAGCATGTCAAGTATTACAAGTGAAGACATTTTGTATTGAGAGAGAGAGAGAGAGAGAGAGAGAGAGAGCCTATATACACATGCACACAATAACATTTTTGCATATATTATTTACATAATTTTATTTTATATTTTTGTATGAACTATAACTTTAAGATAGCAAACTAAACAGGTTTATAAAAAAAAAAAAAACTTTTCCCATTTTGATGTTGATGTGAAAAGTTGTGCGTCCAATCAAATGTATTGGTCACTTGATATTATGAAAATGAAATTATGACAAGATTAAATTATGACAATGTCAACATGTAAAGATTGTGTGCCCACGTCCTCAATAACCATGAATGAAACTAAGCAAAAATCAAAGAAAATAAAACCAGGTTTTAGTTTCTTTGAACAACTATTATCCAAAGCAACAAATATTAAAATGTTCTCAAAACTAGTTGAGATTCACAGCTCTACACTGAAAAACCTTAAGTAATGCTTATCACTGTAAAAAAGTGTGTTGTTAAATAACAGTAATTTACTGCACTGTAAAAAAACAATAAGTAAGATTAACTTAATTTTTCTTTCTTTTGCAAGTTTTCGCACACAAATATTTAAGTAAAATTTAAGTATTGAATTAAGTAAGATAAAATCTGTAAATAAGCAAGTATGCTTGTTATCCTTTTAAGATAATATGCCCACTCAATGAAATTATTTCCTAAATGAACACAGAGAGCTAATCCCTGCCGGTACAAGACTCGAACCCACAACCTTTGGGTTACCAGTCCGACTCTCTAACCGTTAGGCCACGACTTCCCCGACAAAACAGTAAGTTACTAAACCTAACGACAAACAGTGAAAACAGTGAAAATTTTAAACGTTTTAATTATTCATGCCCCAGTGCATGATGGGAAATACGGGATCATAACTTTGATATTTACTTAAAGAATCCTTGTAAACATAACAAATTCCAAGTAAAATATACTTATAAGTTCAAACTTTAATTTCTACAAGCTTAAATTGAGTACTAATATAGAATTTACTTACATTTTTTAAATTCTTGCCCGAACTAAATGATTTAATGTAGAAATCACATTTGTTTTTATGTAGTATTTACTTCACCACAAAATAATTTTTATCAGTGTAGATCAGCGTAAGGGCTTAGATGTACATTCATGCAACCAGCGAGGTTAAGATTCTATCAGACGAGCTGCTGGATGTGCCGCGAGGACCTGACGCTACCGAGTCGAGGAGATTGATAACTGGCCGACAGCAAGGCTAGTCACTCTCACACTCCCTGACAAAGTAAATGAAGAAGAATGGCGGCTGGGGCTTTTTTTCCGCCCCTGAAAAGCACAGCAGAAATGTGCGCAGACAGCCTCGTGCTTCCAGAGATCGACAAGTCTGAGTGCTGTGCAAATTTCCGCCGTAAATCCTCTCCTGTCCAACGCCGGAGCGCTACATCCCATGCCGGCCTTCAAACAGACGTGCATCTAACCTTTCCGGCCCCAAAACGACCTTTTCAAGTATTTCTGTCTGAAAATGTCCAATTAGCGCTGACCTACACATTTGAAAAGGCAGAGGAATGCAGTACAGCTACTAAACAAGACGACAAACGTTTCATGCATGCTTACGTACGTGAACAGAGCAATTCATATCGAAAACAACAACTTCACAACAAGATACAAAAGGAAGGCATCTGTGTCACAACAGCTCGTTTTCTCAAGGAAACCCACAATGCATTGCTCAACGTCGCTCGTGCAAACAAACAAGAGCTTTCCATTATGCTGGAAGATATCAGAGCCAGGGAATGTTTGCTTTGGGGACAAAGACAGCGATTCGAAACACGGTGCTTAATGATGCAAAACGTGTTTTTGGTGTTTACCTTTGTAGGCCTGTATCTGGCCATCATCTTATTCCTGCCACCCTGGCAAGAACA